AGGATCACTTTCGTTGTGAATAAAGTAGACGGAGATGGTGAGTTTCGCATGACATGGAGAGTTGGCGGGGGCCGGAGACGAGAACAAGTTCGTTGCGTCACGTGGGCGGGCGGCAGATCGATGGGGCGGTCGGGCGGCGGGGCGGGAGGGCAGCGGAGCGAGAAGGCGGCGGGATGGTCGAGCGGCAGGGCGGCAAGGCGACAGGGCGCAGGGCGGCGCAGGCGCGAACACGATACTCGCTCATATCGACCACAACTTTCAATTGAAGTCTTTTGGGGCAGGTTAGGCCTATGCTCCGAGGGGTCAAGGTCACGTTCTTTTCCGTTAAAACAAGAGATAACCGATTATTTAACACTACTATGTCAATCTAAAATTAACATACTACTTTAAATTTTACGGTCTTAATACGAATGCTTATTTTTTTAAATCCACAATTTCATTGTACTGTACAGTTGTTCAAATACTGAGCATCTAAAAGGTTAAATTGGCAATGTTTACCGCAAATGTATAATTAATAATTGCACTGCAAGTAATGTCATACAATGTAATACATATTATTAAAAAATGCACTCCCGCTTCGGTGTCGTATAAGGTTAAATGTGAATCATTCGCTTGTGCCGTGTCATGTCTTGTAGAAAACGTAAATCATCAAATAATGTTGAAATAAATAAACATATTTTTTTAGGAAAACATTTTATCCTTATAGACTGCTGTGTAACACTAACATTTAAAATATCCTGCCTTGAACCAATATACATGTACATTCAATGGTTTGTTATCCATGTATCAGTTAACAGCCAAAGCGCACATTTACATAGACAACCAGTACTATTTAGCAGCATTCAGATTTGTGAGACAAATATATACCTGTTACTATTACACTTCATGGCTTTACTATCGTAATATGCGAAAGTAATATGACTACTGGTTTCCTAAACCATCTCAATCAAAAATTTAGATTACCCTTCCTGTTCTATATAAAAATTTACTTAAATGTACATATTTTCATGGTATTGCTCTTGCTATTCTAATCTGGATACGTAGTCAGTTTTCAAGTGTGTTCCAGTCTACTATTATTTTATTTTTAAGATGACAGCATAAAGTATCAAAAAGGGTGTGATGACTGAGTTATTTGGAAGACAAAAACCTGTTGTGATGACCCTACCGGAGTAGGATTAGGAGGATGATGATGATGATGATAGCATAAAGTATGTATTGGAAATTTTTTTGCGATATACCTTCAATAATTTAAGATAGAAACTAGTGTTACTTATTCACTTTTATATCCATAACTGCAATAATGTCATACAGTGTGTGTCTAATCAGTTTCCTGTTTCGACAATTCAGGACTAGCTATCTTTTTGTCGACCGACAGACATATCGCCTTATAGATATAGCTCATAGCTAGATATAGTCTCTTTAACGTAATAGGCAGCAAGGAAAAGAGATAACCATCATCTCGTCTGAACTACATTATGATAATTTATAGCTTCAGGAAAAAAGTAAACAACCACCGACAGTGATCAAACCATTGATAATGTTTTTATTTGATCTAGACATAGGTACTGTTATATTTCTAGTTCCATTAAATTATACTGTACCTTTGATTTAAGATACTTTGGGCTTTGCCAATAAAGTAATTAAATAAAAACCACTTGTGAAGATCTATAAACTAAATCCTTAGGTACATGCTAAGACCGTGTCAAATTTATTTATACACTAGCTTTAGCCCGCGTCTTCGTCAGCGCGGAATTAAAAAAAAATAAAAGCAAGTTACCTGTGTGTTCTTCCAGACTATCCTCTACATTCATGCCAAATTTCATCGAGATCCGTGTAGCCGTTTAGGGTACAAACTAACAAACATCCATCCATCGTAACTTTCGCATTTATAATATTAATAAGATATTAGCGTTTAAATGAACATATAAAAGACGCCGTATCGTAAACAACGAAAGATTGTTATTTGTTTCTATTAATTGACGTGATGATTCGTTGATTGCCGAAATTGGCATTCTAATTTATTACTGTTTTAGGAATAATGGCAAGACAAACAAATACATTTAATTATCACATTTGTCAAAAATGATTTCCAAAGTTGCTTTCGCGTTTAGACAAACAAAATAAGTCGAATACATAGAGACCAGAAGGTAAACATAAAAATAAAACGAATAGTAAATTTGTGTATTCAAACCGTACATAAAGTTAATGACTTGTTACTGTAGTAATCCTTGAAAGGTGGATAGTTCGAATCTGGAATGGATTCTTTAACTGGCTTATCAATATAAACAAATCACGTTACGATTACTATTTCTATTAATATTATTAAGGTAAATGAACGACAAAGTTATATTTAAAAGAAATTAAGAGAAAAGCTAATTTTGTTTTCTATGAAAAAATCAAAAGACCTTTTGCCAGCATCTAATATAAACATATTTTTTATTTTTCTATTCGAGCTAAGTATACGATCTAGAAAAATGTTATAAAAAATTATCATACAAATTTTATTTGTCTAAGCACCATTATCCGAGAGGTAAACAAATTTTCTCATGTAATGATAGAGATTTCCTCGTGTCGTTTATAAGTTGTATTGAATCAGTTTATTAGAAACATATTGGGTGGGAGCGGGTGCGCTGGGGAGATGCGCGGAGCACGGGGCACGGAGTTGGCGGAGGCGGGTGCGGGCTTCCTTCGCGAGGATTGATCGCGATCGCGAGCTACCGCCGCGGCGGAGGCACACGCAGCCGCCGCCGCCGCCGCCACCTCCGTAGCCATGGAGACCGCCTACCGACTCTGCCGTCACTCCGTCGCCATGATAACCAACCCAATTGAATAGCGTTTGATTTCTATATTGAAAAATATTCTATTTTCTTTCCAATAGAATGTTAATTTTCAAAGGATCATAAATTATCCAATATAATAAGGATAATGTTTTCAACATATACATGAGCCTTTGATAACACGGTATACACTATACTATGGAGATTGAATTCAATTTAGTCAAACAAAAAATTACTCGCTTTTATGTTACGAGGCTTCAACAAAGGACCAGGAGTAGATTTTCTAAATTAAAATATGTATTTGCATTCATATGCAACGCTAAGGTCCTGTCTCCTGAAGAGTTTGATTAACTGATAAGCCATCGTGATAGTATATTTGAATATTAAAACTAAAATAAAATAATTAAAATTAAGGTAATCATAATATTTACTTAGGAAATATTTTGCTGGCAAGGAATGCCAATCCAATTTTGACAAGCAACCGATTTTTAAAATTTATACTTTATTATAACTTGTACCGCCCTTTCAAGGCAGGAAAAATAGAACTGAACTAAACTGGCACCAACATTGGACGATAAATATTAAATTTCTCAACTGTCGATGGGGTAATTTTACGTGGGAATCACAAGGAAAGAACATCGATCGTGTATAAATAGAAATTAGGTAAGAGATAAGGGCGCTTGGGGGTCCGAACATCACATGTCAGAAGTAAATGCGCCCTTTCTTTCACGCCAAATTTCTTCATTGTACCCATTAAAGGAGTTATCGACTTGGTAAGCTTCAAACACATCATTTCTCTTCTTTACTCATGTCACGCATAAAATTCTTTAAATCCCAACCCATTGAAGAATCCAAATAAACAAGATCTAGTGTAATAAAAAGAGGTGGCATGACATTACAACCGGTCTCTGATTACGATATCAATTGACATTTAATAAAAAAATAGTTGTAGTACTTAGATTTCTGTGCTGACATGTTAGTGAAAATTATTATATCTGATATTCCCGTATCTGAAATTAGAACATGTATATTTAAGTTCATCGTACACAAGGCTACGCAAATTCTTAGATACTATTGTTGTTCTTAGATACTTTGGTCTTTAGACTATTTGGGCAGGACATGCGTAGTGACTACACGGTGGACACGAATTGATAAAATTCCAACTGTATAGATTTCCTCCATTATTTTGAAAATCGCGGCAACTTTCGAACCAACGATCTAAACAGGTAGCAATGGACTGGTGATGGCGTCGGAAGAAATAAGAACGACCATGGAATTAGTCCTACGCCATCTCATATGATATAAATATAAAAGAATATAGACAAAATTCACTAAAATCCTGAATTTATTAATAATTATAGAATTGAATAAGGATGTGTAATTAATAAGAAATTTCATTGAAATACTTATTGTTTTTAGTTTTTGAAAAAAAAAGACAATTACATTAAACACATGCCTAAACCTTAACTATAGGAATGCGTATTTAAATTAAAAGAGTCGATCTGCTTCGATCCAGTCTCAAGAATCATAAAGAAATATAAAGACAAAGGCAATTTAAGAGATTATTCAATTACATCTATAAACATGCCTTACATATTCTTGAAATGCAATATTAAGTTGAAACACCAAGGCTAGACCAAAAACCATATAATGTCTTTTTTCTTCTATTTCGTCCACTTACATCAGGCAGCAAGGTAACCAAATACATGCCTTAACCTTTTAACGAGTATCTTAGCAAGACAGTGCGCCGGAAACGAGAAAAGTACACCTCTCACGTAAACAGTAGTGTCCTGTACGAACCACTTTAAAATAATTTCAACATTTTCGTTTTCGAATAATTAAAAGAACTAGCTCCCAAAGTAAGGACGACATACTACAAACTGTATCGAATCATCAAGTCACTTTTGCCTGTTTGAATCTCTGATCTGAAAACCAAAAACTTGCGAACTAAATTGTGCCACAAGATGTTCGAAAATAAAAGATTGCAGACTTATAACAGTCGTTGGATTACAAAGTATCACACGCAATGTTGAAAAGAGGGTATTCTAGCAGCTCCCAGAACATAAGCCATATACCACATACAAAGGTGAGCCTGGGCCTTGAGTTTAAAGCCAGGACTAGAGACAAAGAGTAGTAAGACTATGCTTGTTTTGCGTAAAATTGCAAGATTAAGGTATTCTTACCTTAAAGCATTACAAGAATAATATTTGAAAAGGTACAAACCTTGCATTTTCGATGCCCAGAACTTGCATAAATGGATCATTTATGTAATCGGCGCTGAATAGCGCCTCGTTGTGGTGCTCCGTGACTCTTTAGTACTGCTGGAGATGGTACTACTGATTCTGGAACAACATATATTCGTTACGGTATACTACAGCTCCATCTACGCTAATATTATAAAGTGGAAATATTTGTATTGTATTATTTTTGTATGTATTCAAGGAATTCAAAAACTACAGGACCGTTTTCAAAAATTCGTTCTCCTTTAAAAAGCCATGTTATTAGTGTGTAGCATAGACTATGTTTTTAATTTTTTTTTTAAATTCCACGAGGACAAAGTCACAAGCAACAGCTAGTACTTATATTGTCTTAAAGTGTGTGATAAATTAAAAATCATAATGTATATCATAATCGGTTATTTGTTTACATATAGTTTTTAGACTTTCTACTCCCATCTAACCAAAGGTAAGATTTTATATATCGCCAAAATAGTAAATTTAATTATAATAACTTTATGTTATTGTTTACATTTGCCAAATTCAATTGCAAATGTCAAAATTCAAATCAACAAATGACAATGATGGCAATCTTGCTTTTTAATTTTGGCAGCTTGTAGCGTATGGTCTCTTTCCTAAATTACAGTTTTTATCTAATTTATTTACCCCCTAAGTTTAATAGCGTGAAAATATGTAGACTAAAACATAACGTAAATGTAGGGTTTTTTTTATTAAAAAAGGAATTATTCAAAAATATGCTGTAATTGCTGACATCCTATGCTACAAAGAAGTGTGTGATTACGCATTAGTATAGATTTCTACTTCATATGTAACCCACTCAGCAACTATGTAGTTGTTGCTGGTTTAACTAATGTTAAATCTGTTTGTATAAACAAGAAAACAAAAGTTTATTTGCAATTTCCACAGCCACATTCAAAATTAATAACATACTTGGCAAAATTGGCTTGGGAAACAAGAGCTAATGGTTTAAATACCACCTCTTGGCTTCTGTTGTAAACCATGTCCTAGCACAAGTTAAAACTTAGTTGGAAATGAACACTAGAAACATTAATAAATATTGCACAATTTGAGATACTTTTATAATTGCTAGAATCTTCTAAAAAAATATTTCATGAATACATATTCAGTAAGAGTAGGAATCAGGCACGCAACCACTATTTTGTTACATAAATTTTGTCACTATCATATGTTCATAAAGAAATCTTTAAATCTACAAATTTAAACAAGATAACTTTTAAAAGTTAACAATACAAGCTGTTGCATTAATTGGCTAGTTTGACTATCTGTAATAACATGGCCACACAGAAAACCAGCACAAAGTGGATGCAAATCTGTGATTTGTTTTATATCTAACATGAACCTAATTTTGTCTTCTTCCCTTCCACCCTCCGCTCTAAAACAAGTGATGGCAAGATAGATTAGACAGAGAATAGTATGCATAGAAAGAGAAGAGTAAAAAAAAGTTTTAAATAACTGAAATAAACATGAATGAAAAAAAAAAGATGAAAAAAGAAGCAAAAATGAAGAAAAAGTACTTGATTAATAATTTTTAGATGTCACTGAATGTTACATATCACAGTAAATGAAACAATTAGAATGTATCTCTAACAAGTTCCATGTCACTTCAGTTAGTCATATGAAAGTGAACTCTCAAGATGAGTCGGTAGCACTATGTCAAGCTGTTTTATTTGTTACCATATATGGCTATCTTCTTTTAAATGTAAAGTTTCAATTAGTCAAATGTGCTAATCAATTATATTTCAAATGCACTACTTTAAACAATAGCTTGATGATGCAAAAACATGAGGATAATTTAATATTTTCAAAGGCTTGAAAGAAAAGTAATATGTTGCAATAACACTACACTTTCTCTTACAGTTTAGTAACAACAAACTGAAAAATGGGTTGGCTTGCATGGTGCAATACCACAAACACAGAGAAGACAGTCGTGAGATGCTAGAGGTACTCGCTAGAGGTTAAGCCTCTAGCAAGGATTTAGTCACTTTCCTTTTCCACCCTTTTCTTATAAGGGAGGGGTTGGACGGAAAAATAGATTTGATGGAGGAGGTGCCTCACAAGAAGGGAAAATATCCTCTGAATGTGCATATCATCCTCCATTTAGGGTCGGCAAAGCACCTGCAACTGCAGGATGTCTATGGGGAAGCAGTTGCTTGGCACTTGGTAGATTTAGGTGGCTACTTGTTTGCCCCTAATCAACTTAAAAACGATTTTAAAATTATTTTATCTTTAGAAAGCTTATCACAGAGTAAATTAGGTTGTATTTATATTTGTAGTTGTAAAGGCGAAAGTCAGTTATTAGTGTAGTAATTAAAGTAAACAAATTACTACCGAGCTTTTGAATATACAAAATCTAAGGTAGCAACATAGTGACTCATATCATATCACAATCATTAGTTTTATATCTAAGATTAACAATTTGCTCAAATTGCTAGGTAACCATTACACAAACTGTGGCCATTGACCAAATATAGATGTCATGTTAAAGAACGGGTAATATAGAGAGCTCCAGAAAACAATAGCCACATATAAATGTGGAAGAGTAGAGATAGAAGCACCAAAACCGTTCCAAATTTGAAAATGAAATTCCAAATTAAATATGCAATCCACAGGTTATGGTCACTGATCTTTATGAATAAGCTATAAGAAGTGATATTTTGTACCTATTTAATTTCACCTTTTCGACTGACCGTTGTGGTTAATATTGACGGTGATTGTTCTAAACCATAGAGACAAAATTAACTGTCAAAACATCCATGGGCATGTTTAAGCCTTAATAAAGGAAAGGCCTAACTTTAGTCCCTTTCCCTATCCACCTTTTTCTTAATAGGAAAGGATGGGAAGAAAAAGTGGATTTGACGGTAGAGTAGACGCATAGGACAAGGAAATGTCCTCTTTTTGTGTGTCTCTTCTTTCCTCAATTAAGGGTAAGCAACGAATCTGCAATTACGAATGTTTATGGCCAGCGGTCACTTTTCATTTCATTGGATTCAAGTGGCCACTTGTTCGTTTGCCACCATATATTATAAAAAAATAAAAAAGCCATCATTTCCAAGCAATGATGTATCCATTTATCAGTGGTTATGAGCATTAGTTAGGTTTGGTTCTATTGAAAATCTATGTATGTTTCTCATCCAAGAAGTGAATAATTTCCTTCAGATTTTTTACATTAATATTATACTGTGTTACATACTGGTCTATTCAACTTCTTATTAATATTGTAAATGTTAGATGGATGAATGGTCATGTGTAAAAATGTTTCTCCTATAGATGTACAATATAAACTCAATAAAGTCTTAAGATACTAATTATATTTTTTTTTTCTAATTTAACATAGAGTGTGATGCAGGGAAAAGTTAGTCAAACGTAATATTATAAATGCAAACATTTGGATAGAATGATGATTGTCACCATTAACTTTAGAACAACTGAAAGAGTCAGAATAAAATTTGGAACAGAAAGGTAATTTACAACCTGGAATGGCATATAGGCTACAAATCAAGATTTTTTATAATTTCATATGGATGTAGGCATAGACAACAGCTTGTGCTTATTATTTTGTTCGTTTTTTAAGCCATTCAAAAGTGAATAAGCTATGTTAATCATAATAAATAAATTATTAAAAAAACAAAAATAACCTACAATAAATGTATTTGTAAAAATCGATTTTTCCAAAATAATTTGATACCAATCCTATTGGACCTTAAGAAAACAAATTATCTTTACTCCTCAGATATATCAACATTATAATATAATTTTATAAACATGTTTTGATAGCAAGTATGTTTTAAGACTTCCCTAAAAGTATTAAATCTAAATACCTTTACAACAAAAATTATACGTAACAATACCTCAGAACTAATATAGTTATAACTTCTATGTATCTAAATAGTCAAAGACGTTGGTATCAAGATTTAGAAGTCTAAAATTCCAAGTGAACTCGCTCCATGACGTCATAAATACATTGACTGTCAATAAACTGCAGTAAACAATACCACACAGCAATATTTCTAATAGTATTGTATTGTATAGCTACTATCCTATCGGGAGTAAAATAAGCAGGAATGTTACTTACATTAGTCCAAACAAAGATAAATCTTCCAAGGGTAATAAAGCAGGGCTAACCGCGACCAGTAGTTGACAGCAAAACTACATAACATGGCGGCATCTTGTCGCAGCCGGTGTAAGAGCGCCAATATTTATTAACAACTCAATACACTTACTATAACTTTGCACTTAATTTTGTTAATATCTTGAGAAAAACACTGATGCACCAAACAAACCAAAATATATATGTTTCTACAAGACACTAGAGGGAAAATGACGTAACATTCTCAACCTTCACGGTCGCACAGTACAAACGTAAGGTATAAGAAATAGTAGTTCGTTTTGCTGATTTAGAAAAACAGTACGGTATAGACACAACTTAAAACACTTAACTCCGAAAAATCACTTCACGGAAAAGTTCAACAATCCTTAGATCTTGACAAAATAAACTTAAGCGTTTTATTATTCTGCCAAAGACCTAACGTGACACGCAGTCATGCAACCTCGTTAAGCAAACCAATTTTTTAATTTTTCCAATTCGTCCATGTTTTTTTCATATGGTATGTATTGGTGTAACAAGGCCTTTTGTCAAATAAGTCAAACTTTTTACTGTCTAGTCTACATCGAAGTTAAATTAAAATATTTTATTTTAATGGATCATATCATTAAACGGATTGTACACGAGTAAATGTTTTTTTTTTATTGCATATCTCTAACATTAGAGCAAATTTAAAAATACTTTGACGATTTGGAACATCATATTCTTCATAGTCTGCCTAAAAACATAACTTGAGGGCGCCACAATCTTAATTGATATTGCAACACTTTTCATTAACGTCAACACTAATAAGCAAAATGTCATTTATAGATTAAATCCAGTATTTTAAACTTATTCTACGCTAATCCTATACATAAAGTAGAATTCTATACGGTATAAATCGGTATATGAACAGATTAAATTATCACAAACTCAAAAATTAGAAAGAAAACTAAAAGTAGAATAAAATACTTTGACAACTCGATGATAAATCAATATTGACATCAATGCTATGGCGAGGGTTTACATTTTTCTGACCAGATTATTTGTGTGCAATTATATTATTTCATTCTAAATATTTTTTATTATGATAATAGAAGGAGATTACAGTACGTTCAATTTGGCATTCAGGAAATGGATTCCAGAATGCAACATACAACAGAATTTCAGCTTTTCACGTTTTTCTGGTCTAATACAACCTTTTTAGATAAAATATCATAGTTTTTTTGTATCTAGAAGATTAAATTAAAACCACTGACCGCTGAAATAAAATTCGAAAATGTCAAATTAATATATGACATTGCCACTTATATTGATAACGATTTTTTATTGTCTCCTATAGAGTCGAATTTATACAGTAATGGCATTACCTTGGCATATCCCTTTGGAATCGCTTCCAAAATTGAAAAAAGGCGGTGTTAAGGAATCCCTGTTAAAACATTATTGCTCAATTAATGTACATGAAAATCCTTGTGAAGAGCTTAAAACGGGTCTTATGTGCGATATCGGTTATAGCAATAAAGAGTCTAGTACAATTCAAAAACTAATAGCTGCAGGAATGACCGTGGCTCATCTTAATATTAGGGAACTAGAACCTGAAGCATGTGGACAGATAATACAAAGTATTAGACAAGCTGTTTATAATTACAGCACAGAACTGCAGTACGTTCATCCTTTAGCACTTATAATCGATGTCAGGGGACCGGATATAGTCTCGGGGGACTTAAAAGGAGGACCTCATACAACAGTTGAGATTATACAAAATGAAACGATTCGACTAACGACGGATGCAACATGGCGTGAATGCGGCACTGCGGATTGTTTGTATATTGGATATGACCATCTAACTGATTTACAGGTTAATGATATAGTTTTTATTGACAGTTTAACTGCTAATAAAATTAAATTGATTGTATCTGAAGTTGGTGATGATTCTATAGAATGTTCGGTAGTTACTGGTGGAACGATTGGACCCAAAATGGCAGTACAAATTTCTCAAGTTCCACGGGAAATCCCTAATTTAAATAAAAAGGAAAGTTTAGAATCCATATCCCATAGTGACATATCTCAGCAGAACTTCGAACAACTAGAAGAACAAATAAAATGGGCAGTTTCTTCTGATATAGATGCAGTTTTACTGCCAAATACTCAGAGCGGCAATGATATTCGGCATATCCGAAACATTTTATCTAATAAAGGAAATCATATTTTGGTTTTCGCTTCTATTGACACCGTCCAAGGATTAGATAATATTGATGATATTCTAACCGAAGCTGACGGAATATATTTGGATAGAAGTATTCTAAGCACCGATCTGCCCGTTGAAAAAATTTTTATAGCTCAGAAAATAATCATGGCTAAATGTAATAATCTTGGTAAACCGTGTATTAGTAAAGCTGTAATCAATGAACAAATACCTACGTTGTGTGTTTCTGATATAGCTAATTTAGTTTTAGATGGTGCAGATGTTATTGCTCTTGAGTTACATTACGATTCGCCATTAAGGAAATTTGCACCAGCTTATGATGCTGTACGTATGGCTGAGCATTGTTTAGCAGCTGCAGCTGTTATATGTCGACACGCAGAGAGGATTATATGGAAACCACACATATATGGAAATTTTGAACTCATGCAAAGTCCTTTAGAAGAACCAACTAAAGCAATTTGCGTTGGAGCTGTTGAGCTTGCTTTACGATCACAAGCAGTTATAATTATTTGCTTAACAAACTCCGGTAGAACAGCTAGAATTTTATCCCACGTTAAACCACCTTGTCCCATTATTGCTGTTACCAGGACTTGTCATACGTCGAGACAACTGCGTTTTTTTAAAGGCATAAGGACAATACATTATTTTGAAGAAGCAAAAGCTGCATGGGATTCTGAAGTTGAAAATCGGGTGAGAGCAGCTCTAGACTATTGTAAAATTAAACGTTTGGTAGAGGCTGGTGATGCTTACGTCGTTGTTGCTGGTTCACGTCGTAATGTGGGGTACTGCGATTCGGTACGATTATTATATGCAAGCGTCCGCAATAGAATTAGTGTACCATAGATTTAATAATTTGTATGACGTTTTGATGCAATTTTTACCTCTTATCTTGTTATGTTTCTTCTTTGAATTAAAGAAACTTCAGCTAGTTTTTTTATTTACTTCAAACTACGTTTAAAAATTGGTTTTAAGCAATTTGTTAAGAAAAAGTTGGATTATTAGAAAATGATTTAAATTCTATCGTGTCCCACAAGTACCACAATGAAGAAGATACAAGAAATGTATGATACAATGCCGCATAGAGCAAGTTTATCATTAGCACCTTTGAATAAAATCCATCTGAAACAATGATCTACTGAAGTCAGGTCACGAATATTTTTTTATAATTATTGTCCTAAAATAATATTTCAATATGGTCACCATGGTCAGAGATGGAATAATGGTACAGGTATTGAGGTCTCGCACGTCTTCAATTTTTCAACAAGAGCTCTATCCTGTTCTAGTAGTACATCTATGGACTATAGCGGACATTTATGCATCAAAGTGCCCGTGTGCCATTTATGGCACGCGTGTCAATCAAATCAAAAAAGACTCCGCCATTAACGTCAGAGTCGCGATGTCATATGGGGTTGTCATTTCAGGGGTCTGAATTTCAAACAAATAAAAGAAAACCAGTACGCCAATCGCAAGTTTTTGTATTAATAAGGTTTTACCTGTAGCAACAAATAGTATTGCTTTAACATGTTGATAATAAATTATTATTAATATTTAGAAATATTTTGAAGGTAAATATTTTAACTGCATTGCATTACATCAATTGCTTATTTTTATACAAACAACAAAAAGATTGATATCTGGCAACTCTAAGTCACTGTTAGAAAGGAAAATATCGGACACTTGTAGCCCTCTCACGGTTTCAATTTAGTTTTGCGTGCAACAAGACTCTTACGCTGTCCCCATAAGGTTTTGTTTTCTTTATTTTAACTGTAAGATGTACAGGTAGAACTCATCCCTGTTCTATAGTACTTCCATGGACATACTAGTTTGTCTAAATAAGATTAGATTATTTTGATAAACGACGCATATAAAGTTTCAATTCAAAAAAATTCAATTTCTATGACGGTAAATGCATACTTAATAGATAGGTATCGTAGTGACGAACAAACACAACATAGCGAACAATTTTCAACTATCGATATTCGGTTTAAATAATTATCGAACTCAACTTAAATTATTATTTTCTTATTCACTAATTTAGAGGACATTTCTAGTATTGATTACAGTGTAAATAATTTAGCGATGGCAGAAGTAATAGCGAAATCCAATTCGATTACGTACGACTGCAGTAGTAATAAACATTTATTTACTCTCATTATTTGTCATGGTCAATATTAATTTGAAAAAACAGCGTTTTTTTTATAAGTTTTAACTATAAATCTATCGATTCCAACTTCTATTAGATTAAAAATCGAAAATCGATATAATTCACGACAGATTTTACTCGACCACCCCTACTAAATTTGAGAAGTATTGTCAAACTATAAAGTTAAAAACTTACCCTGGCTCGGATATGTATATTTAATATTGTAATTATTTAATATTTTTGAATTTGCGGTCATGTCTTTGTGTTAAAGTTGAACTGTGTGTTATGATGGCAGTAGTAAATTAGTATAATTTAGGAACTCCTGTTTAAAATTTTTGAGCCATGAAACCGGTATTTTGTACTATATAAATTTTCTCGAATATTTTTGTACTATATAATTATTATATTTTGCCTAGAACTTCGGACTTTTTAAACGATGTCTCTAGAAGTCACAATCAAGGAAATATGCGGAAATTTGTGTTCAAATAAAGTTACTGAGAGAAAACGAAGTGTGGAAACTTTAAAAGATTATCTTACTAGAAATGCAGTCCCAGATTTGCTTTCTGATAATACACGAAAAAAAGCTGGCTTTGGTTGGAATGATTTATTTGATAGTATTACTGACTATTTGTTGAAGGTGAGTTTTGATTATCATAAAATAAACAAGTAAACACACAGATTTTTAATTGTAAAATTAAAATCACAAGCCAATCATTTCCTCAAAGGTCTGCAGCTCAGGTCTGGTGTTGTAGATGTCCATGGGTGTTGTTGACCACCTCGGTGTTCTTGTCGTTTGTTTGCCCCATTTTATTATAAAAAAACCTGTAATCCTGTAGGTAAATCAATTTAAAGAAGACTTTTTCACACATAAAACAGTTATTCTTTATGTTTCATAAGTATATTATTGAAAATGAAATTTCTCAACTATGTTCTAATACAAATTTCTTTTCAAATATCTTTTGTAAACTAATTGTTGTCTACTATTTAAAAAAACAGACTCCCCAAACATTCATAATTAGCTATGAAAAAAATTTTGTTTCTATACTTAATTTTCGTTTTGTCTTTTATGAATTAAGTGAAAATTGTGATAAAATTAGCGGTTTAATTAAATTTAATCTACAAGTTTTATGTGTTGTTAAACTTATAGTACAATTTTAAGCGCTTTGTGCTTTCAGGAAGCAGAGAAATATGAATCTTCTAAAACTTTTCATACTGTAACATATCCATTATGTGTAAGCATACTCCATTTATGTGTCACTGGTTCAATTAAGGGTAATTATTGCAAATTAGTGGTATTATGCTTCATTAAGTTTTTTTTAATTCTGAAAATAATAAAATAAAATTTATTTAACTATTACTGTTTTTTAGGTAGAGCATATATAAAATGTGATAAGATTATAGAAGCAGCCTTGTTTGTATTAAGAAACAAATATTTAACAAATGCAATTGGTGATGCCTATCTCAGTTTATTACAGAAACATGTTCTATCATGCGAAAATTATGTTACTCTTATCACTCCTGGTACATGGGAAGGTAAATTTTTTGTTTGCATTTTTTTTGGGTTGCCTTTGATAATTCTGTTTCAATAATAAAAGATTGATAAATAGTTTTATCTGGATTTCTATAGTGCATTATTGAATATAAATAATTTCTTTACCCAAATTAGTGTGGATATATATTTTATTAGGATTCTTTATATACTCGTAACTTTCTAGAACGAAGCTTTCTTTTTCAGAGTTACTAGATGTTAGTATAGCAGGATGTCTAGACAAAATATCTAAATTGGATGATTTCACAAAGTTAAAGCTTCTATGGCTTGTTATAAAAAATGCTAAGGAATGTTGTCAGTTCTCATGTTCATTACGAAACAATTTGACTGACATTACTGAATATTTCCATAATATAAATAAAATAAATAGAAACAAAAAAACATTAGAAGTTGTATCTGATATTGTAGTGTTAATATTAGATGTGGTGAGTAGCAGTGTAGTCTAGTTTTTATGCTTATCAGTGTTTTACAAATAAATTTTTTGAAATGTTTTTTATTGTTTCAGTTGTATTTAGAAAACAGATTGAGTGTGTGCGAATTTATTGAAAAGAATTTACCTCTGATCTTTGAATTCTATGAACAAAATTTAGATGGTAAACAGAAGGTAAGATTCTAAATAAACTTAAATGTCTTTGTTTATAATTGCTCTTCATAAGAAAACATGTAAAGGAAAATTAAACCTTGTTTCAATTGTTCAGAGCTCAATATTTCTTGCGTTAAAATCTGCTTTGCTCTACCTTTCTGTCTGTTTGAATGGAACCTAATTTGCTTTTACTTGTATTTTTTTTCAGTCACATGTATTTAGCTTATTGCATACGTCAATAGCAATCCATCATCCACTAGGACGGATAGAGAATGAGGAATCAGCACTGGCACATGACTGGCAAGTGTGGAACACACGACTTCAAAGCATCATGGAATTGGTAACCAGTGAAATAAATTATATGCAAAAAAACCATAGAAACAGTAATGTCTCACTGTACACATGTACATTTTTTAATCAAGTTTCAGCGATTATGTTTTTCTTGGTAAGTAAATACTTGTGTATTATGTTTCATGTTATGTACTTACTGAAGGTTTTGACTATAGATACATATGTATAGAACGAAATGGTCTCTCATTCTCTTGACAAAAACAGAGATCTACAGTTAAAGCTTGACTAGAATTATAAAAAGTCTTACCATATTTTGGTGAAATATGGAACTAAGTGATTTGTGTATACACAAAAAGTATTATTATAAAGTAGGTGAAGCTCCCCCAGGGTTATTATATTTTTGGTTAGATTATAATTACCAATTACAAACTGTTTGTAGACTTTCAAAATGTCGGCACATGTAGATCTGAGTTGCGATGGTGAAAGAGCAGCAAAAAGACCACGCACAAATTTCAATATAAAACAAAAGTTTAAGGATTTAATTGGAGAGATCAAGCAAAATCATGTACCTTGGTAAGCTACATATTTAATGTTGCATCCTAAGTTCAATTGAATATGGTTATCCCTCTTAAAATTATATAAAGCTTCACAGGGAATATAAAAACCCTTACTGTATCGTGGAAAGTGTATTTACGCCTTAAATACTTTAAGTTTCAAATTAGATATCGGGGTTATAAATCGCATTGGATGTCTACAATCGATTTTATTTTAATTGTATGTCAATTGTTCTCTTATAATATATCATATACTTGACTTTGAATGACTATTTTAGGTTAGGAATAACGGAAATGTATGTGAAACATTTTGGATGTTCCTTATCAGCACATGATCATGAAATATTAATAAAGGCCCTAGAGGAATTTGTTAAGACCAGTAATATTAAAGAAATTTGGTGTATATTTGAATCTTTAACTTGTCAAGTATTGAAAAATTTGAATGAAGGTGCTTTTACTGGTTTCACAGAACATATAATTTCATTATGGACTACATGTGTAAGGTAAACTATATAAATTGTATATTTATAATTAATTAGATGTATATGAAATATGTTAAACAATGTAGCTTTTTATATTTCCATGGCAACACTCCATTTGTTATTATGTGTTGCCATTTAATATGTTATTCTTCCGTAACATGATGTGTTGCAATTAAATATAAAACTGTTTCCAGAAATTCAACAAATAATTCATCTCATAAAGCAATACATGGTGTACTTCAAACAATTTTGTCATTGAATATCTTGGATTATAAGGACATTAAGCCATTATTACTATTGTACTATGAAAAAGGGATGCCCGTCAGTAACAGCAGTGTACAAACTTTAAACATGTTATTTAAAAAATTTTACAGTAAATGTTGTTCTAACAATGGCCGTACTAAATGTTTCAAATGGTTCATAAATGGTCAAGTAACCCAACTAGATATGGATACAGTAAGAGAGTTATTTTTAACTTTATTGTTAAACGATAATGTTAATAATAACGTTAAAAGATCTGGTTGCATAGAAAATGAAACTCTTTATCATATTTTATTCAAAACGGTCCACAAAAGTATTTTATATGCAGACTTTGAATTACAAATAACAGAACCGGAACCGAACAATAAAGCTATTCAACAAGCCTTAGAAATAAATGAAGAGATGAATTACCAAGTAGTAGAATGTTTGCAAGAAAGACTTTTAGAATCCAATGAGAAGATGGAAAAAGGAAATTTTGATCTAGTTGATTGTTTCAAAATATTAAAAGTAACACTAACATACTTAGATATTGCACTAAAACATAATTATCATAAAGTAATATCTGAACAAATATATGATAATTTTAAAAGCATTCTCAAAACTGCATACACAATGGCAATAAAGATATTGAAAAGTGGAGTACAGATAAGTGAAAAGAATGCTCTACTTAAAGCATTACAAGTGATATTAGAGGAATATGATACAGTATTAAATAATGATGTGAGAACGTGTATTGATAATGATTTCTTTCATTGCATTACTGGTATTCTGCATAGCGATGTTCCTGCCGACGACGATGAGAGCGACCTTGAAATGTGTCACAATGTATTAAAGAATAATTGCATATTTTTCTTAGCAGCATACTGTAAAAAGAATTTAAACTACAGAGACGAACTTCTAGAATTGATTCTTAATCCAGAGTTATACAATTTCTCATCTCAATTGGATGTTGAATTTGCATTAAAATGCATAAGGTTCTTAAACCAATCTGATATTAAAGACAGTCCTATAGGTAAGATTTTAATAAGTTAGAGTTGCTTAGTGTACAATTAGTAGCAAATTTATTTTCAAATAGTATGCTTTAGGGACTATTAAAAAATTTGTATCCGACAGTTATATATTTTTTGTAACTTCCAGAATCAACATTTGTATTAATGCAATCAATGTGCAAAGATTTGTTTCGTAAGTCAACAGCGACTGCAAGCATTCTACAGACGTTGTTAATTATAATAGACAGAGTTTGGCAGCATGGCGATAACTTGCGTCGAAATTGTCTTATAATGGTCAAAAGTTATTTGCATAGATGCGAAAATATGTTCTACCCACCTGAAGTTGCCGCGCTCGTGTATCAATGTGTCACTAAAATTATTATACTTAATAACAAAGATGTCAACCCTATTGAATTAACTTTTAAAGATGTTATAATTTACAAAATAAAGGGAAATATTCACTCTCTACGTCTGTATTGTGGATATTTAATAAATGAAATGAAAGAAGCATTCAACGAAGAAGACGTATTTTCCTGTTTACTAAATATAAAGGATTTATTTACGGTTGCAGTAAGTATTCCTAATTTTTTTTTAATCTTATCTGACTAAATTACTTTTCCTATTTCTACACATATGGTCACCCTAACTTAGGGTAGGCTCTGAGCAGATAGTGAGCTGGGATGATGGGTCATAGTAATAATTTATTTAATATTTCTTTTAGCTATCAAATGAAAAGGACACAATTTTAAAGGACGAACTAAGTAACAGAACTGCATCTCTACTGCATACTTATTATCTTTTGGCGATTCATAAACCTTCAAAGATACACCAAATAGTGCAAGAAATTATTTTTCTACAACAGGAAAAATCACTGAATAAACCAATTGTCAAGAAAGTATTAAATATTATTATCAATAAAGTAACACAAAAAAGTCTTGATAATTATCTTGATCAGAATATACTATGTTTATTAGAATATTGGCTCGAAAAGAAGTTGCCCTTGGACAATTTGCCTGTGTCTTTATTCAACTTTGAGAGTGATTTGTTTTACAAAAAATATATGAATTGGTTGGTATCCGCCGACATACTTTGGCGTCATCAGGGTAATGTACAAAAAAGCGATATGATGAAAAAATTTAAACAAATGCAATCTGAGGAATCAATTTTGGAGGTAATTAGGTAGTATTTATTGGAAATAAATACCAAACGTATCTAAACAATTTTACTTATAAGGCTTCTTAAATATATCACAGACTTTTTAAATATAGAGAAATTTATTATCAATTTAAACACTTACCAAACTCATAGAAAGTAGATTTCAGTATTATCTAGTGAAAT